GTAAAACAGCCAGAAAACGTTTAAGAACATATACATTATATAGTATATAATCTTTAGGAGACACTATTATATACCAGTATGTAATAGCATATGTAGGTGAATACAAATCTTGTGTATACTTATATAGGTATCATTTCTCCTCTTCCTTACTCCCATGGATTTTTTCAACACATTATTTTCAAATTACACTCCAATTATATTTTGGAAGTAAAATTGACTCAAAAGAGGAATGAGAGTGAGACTTATTTGCCCTATTGTTATTATCCTTGTATTACCTTTAACATTTCCCATTGATGCTAACCATCTCTCTCTCTACTTCATATGTTTTTCTATAATTATAGAAGAATGCAAGATCTTCATAAATTGAATAAATTTGTTACTGGATTAATTGAGAATGTCTTCTACATTATGAGATAATTTATAAGCATTGATTTAAGCAGACATTTTTCCCAAAAAGAAAATCAAAGCAAAGTGGCTTTTCTCCACCAGATTCATAGTAGAGAACAAAGAAACAAAAAAACCTACTCTGGAATAGAAGTGACAGGAAGAGGAGGAAACATTTTTTCCATAACTAGTCTCATTTATCTCAGGCTGGGGGAAAATCTAATCAAGATTCTTTTCACGTACGAGACATATCTGGGGTCTGAGTTCAAAGCAGAATAATTAAGCACTTAGTTGTTGTAGGTCAGAACTCAGACATATTTAAAAAGCAAGATCCTTATAGTTTTCCATTAGATAGTTTAAATTTTTCTTTCCTTTGCAAAATATATCATTCTAGCTAGAAAAAAAAACCTGCACAAACAAGATCTTCTCTGTGAATACAGGAGAGAATTAAATAAAGCCCCAAAACTGTCATTTTCAATAAGGATGACATAAAGCAGTATGAAAGATGATGATGCAAGAAGTCAGATGTAATGTGAATAGGTCAAATGTCCAGGGAATTCCTGACTCCTAGCAGCTTGTGTCCTAATCGAGAACTAAACTAAATCCCTATTGCTCTCAGCAGAGTGTTCTCAGGCAGAGAGGATGAGAATTCTTGCCTTAGGATGTAGCTCCTCTGCAAACTGAGGCCAGTCTCAGTCTTCTGCATACAAAGCAAACCTGTACTAACAGTTGCTAGAAGCAAAAAGACCAACCACAACACACCAGAAAACAACAAAAAACCCTAAAACCCAATCAAAGAAAGAAAGAAAGATTTTTAAAAATTAAATGTAAAAAAATTAAATGTATTTTTCTTGACTTATATTTTGGGCAAAGCTGAATCTTCCCAATGCATTAAGTAAAATAAGTGTCCATGGGAACATAAGCTTACATGTTTCCACCTCCTAAAGGCTGAGAACTGAGCACCTGGGTGCCTTTAATGACTTGGGAACACACAAGCATGTAGTGAAAGAAATGTCACCCCAAAAGATCTCAGCAAGTAGGAGCTGAAGGTGCCCTTGAGGTGTGTGCATGAGGAAACCTCTGCAGGGCAGCAGAGCAGGGTTACTGAAGACTGGCACTTCAGCCTCGTATCCCTCATGCCAGACATTTAAGCACCTCACACGCCTAGCATATGAATGCACAGAATTGTTCAGAAACAGGTAAAGCCATACATCTAGGAAATAAAAGTTTTGAAGGCAGCCAACAGTTGCTGGAAAGATTGCAGGTAAGAAAATATGATCCTTAAGGGAGGAAAAAAATGGGAAAAGCTACAATATCAGAGTGAACACAAAAAAAGCTTCTTTGGATTGTTAAACCAACCATGTATCTATTTGGTTTTGTGTAATAAAAAGCTGAAATAAAGCTATATTTGCTTTTTAGAATTTGTTGAATAGGGATGGATGGCAAAATGCCTGCATCCTTTTTTTAGAATACAGACACACAAGGATTTGACTTTAGCACAGCAGGTAGAGACACAGAGGGACCTGTGCCCAGAGGGAATTAAACTCTAGAAAAGAGATTATTATACACCAAGAAGGCACTGAGGGATGAATACTGGGGCACCTTCCTAGGTTTTGGATTAAACCTCTGCTGCTCAGGAAGGTAATTTTAAATAAGGCACATTTTATATTTAAGGATACATTCTCTATGTTCTTTGGGATTGTCATTCCTGATTTTTGAACTTAGATTTTTTTCAATGCTCTTTTTCTTTTTCTGTTTTTTTGGTTTTTTTTAATGGAAATTTAACAAATTATTTCAGCAACCATTTCCCCCTTATTTCTTAAATAAGAGAATACAGTAAGTTCTACTATTTCATTGTAATTATTTTTTACCTTAACTATTTAAAATGTTTCTGGGAAACAATTCTGTGCCTATAATTTACTTTTCATATAAAGTCAGAATTGTATAATATAGTAGAATCCAAGAATATCATCCAGTACTAATAATATATTTTCAAATCTTTAAATTTACAACCAGTTTTTAATCATAGTCATAATTATATTATTATTGTCATTATTATTATTTAGGATAAATAATTTTCATAATATAAATGTTTGTAGTAAACTGGCCTACCAGGTAGGCCTACCAGGGCATGGAAGCAAAAAAAAAAAAAGAAAGGCAGAGAATTACATGTTCTTCTCTAAATTCAAAATACTGATTCAATCTAATATTTTGTAAGGCTTTCACTACCATCTCCAATACATATAAGAAGACAATTATTTGCATCTTCAGAAAAAATTAATTCTGCTGCAAATGTTCAGTTAACCTCATGTACTACCCCATGAATTGAACCAGTAATTTGGCACATACAGCTGTGGGACTCGTACATCAATTTGTCTTAACATCATTGAGTTGGCTATTTAAAAGGTCATTTATTTAACCTGTAGACAGAGCATCTCAGTACAAAGGAATAAGATGGCAAAATAATTCCAGAAGACAATAAACATGCAAGTTTAGACAACTTTTCACTGTTACGTTAAGATTTCAGTAAAATTATAATCACTGAAAACAAGACATTTTAACATGATCTATTTTTGTATTGTTGTGTGCAGAACGATTTCACATGTCAAATACATCAGTTTGTGATATCGTTGCTTTCACAACAGTACCTCCAATTTAAACATATGCTTTAAAATAAACAGAGGATACAATGCAAATTCCTACCATTTCTTAGCTTAGAGTGCTTTAAGGAAGCACAAAATTAGAATAAACTTCCTGGATCACAAAATTTACTTCTTTATTATTACAGGTAGCATTTGATGAATCCAATTTCAAAACTGTTCATAGCCTTAGCTTAAAATAACTTTTTTTCCTCCCCCCACCATTCTTCTTCAAAGATAGTCCCAAAATATATTGTTCCAGTAGACAGGGCCTTTTGCCTCATTTCCAGCTTGAGTGTATTTATAATTGTTTTCTCCCTTTTTGTTCTTGTACAAACATTGGCTTTTCGCCTAAGTGGCAATATTTCTTCCAGTTTTAACCCTCCTACTGAATATCTTAACAAAGACCTGCCCTTTTGACTTGTTTACCCTCAGATAACAAGCTCTGGCTCTTTGCAGAAGACATTCCTCCTGCTTTGCTTATCCATCCAGCAGAGATTCTGTGTAATTATTTTAGTTTTAACTTATTGATCTTGAACATAGGCAATGAGAACTAAGAAAGTATTTCAGATAAGTATCACCAGTTTCTTTATTTCTACTGGAGTTGCCTTTCCAACACAGTCATATAATTTCTGGGCTAAATTAATTCACTAATTGTTAATCTTGCTGTTATGTAGGACAGCCAAGTACATTTCCACCTTATTTCTTTGCTAAATTCTAGCTTTCAACAAAAGTGGGATACCAGTAGCAGGGTTGTGATGACCCAGCCCTTTAGAGGAAGGGTACATTCACTTTATATTATCTATTATTGAATTTAATCTGATTTCTAATAATCCAGTTGAAGTAAGTGATTTTTTTTACAATACCATATCCTATATTGACAATTCTTACATATTTGTATCATCAACAAACACAATCTGTATTTTCACTGTGTTTCCACCACAGTCATGACAGACATTATTAAAGAAGTTCAGTGACAAGGTATTTTCGGGACGTCTCTAGTTACTACTGTGCTACCAGATATTTCAGAGCTGTCTTTCCCTGTTGGAAAGCTTTTTTCCATCTTCTAATAATTCCACTAATTCTTGTCATTTGTAGTTTAACTATTAGCTCCTCCTGAGCTAAATTTCAGGAAGAAATTGTATCAGGTGTTTTATTCATCTGTTAAATCAACCAAAAAAAAATAGCATTTCAATTTACATAGAATAAGAACTTTACATTATTTACTTCCACCTTTTTCTGTGGTCTATTGAATTATTTCTGCATATCTGTACATAAAATCTGCCTTTTGCAGATCCAGACGTGGATTATAGCCATTTAATTCAATTTAATTTTAAAGAAATCCTTTTTTTTTTTTTTTGGTATATTTTCATGAAAGCCCAGTTTTGATATGCTGGGATTTTTTTTAAAGTCATAATCTTATAAACACTCTACTCCTTATCAAAAATAATTTAAAATAATGCTACTTTCTGCAGAATCATAACCTAACTAAAAAATGGCTGGTCAGTATGCATACAAATATCCAGATCTTATCAAATCCTCAGTATTTTTCCCCAGTCTGTACCTGCAAACTCAAAATTCCAAACATTTCTCTGGCCAAAAACATTACAGGCAAGACCTTCATTTATATTGATATAGCCATGGCTGAGTTACAATAGATAATTGTTAATTCTATGTTACTCCAAGTGAAATATTCCTACTTTTTTTCTCTAATGATTTTGAAGTTAAGAATAATATTTTTATTGGATAGGTCAGACCTAAAGTCCATTTAGCTTTATGGAATCCCTGACTCCTGCTTCCAAATGGTTAGGGGAAGAGTTTAGGAACAAGTTTTGGAACTGTGCATGGTGGGCTCTTCTCTTGGTATGTCCTGTGAGGTTTTGGGAGTTTGCACACAGGTACCTTCCTAAATCAAAAGTTGCATGGCATTTTACAGATCTTCACTTTCATGAATGTAGATATTTGGTCCTCATCATCTTTAATACCTCACCAACCCTAAAATCTTGCAACAAACAACAAGATTTAATTGTGTCCTGTAAAGATATTATATTTTACCAACAAAATTGTCATCCTTTTAAGTCATTCAGCCTACTATTAAGATAAATAGTGAGTCACTTCCTGTTCACCTGTACTTTAAGTTGCATGATTCTTCTCTGGAAAATCCTTACATAAGTAATGCATGACATTGCAATTCCTCTGCATTAATTTAGTTGCTGTTGTCTTTCTCTATACATTTTTGAATTCTAACACAGATACGAGGAGTTAGCCCCAGCAGTATTTGTCAGGCAAAATGTCTTATTCTGGCTCTGCTGAAGTGGTTGGCCTGCACAGTGCTGTCCTTACCAAGGCATGACTGCTGAGGAACCTGAAGAAGGCAATATGCCAAGGGGGTGATGAGCCTCTGAACAGCAGGATCATCTGCAAATGGGAATGCTGAGAACGATTATTTTCTTGCATTTATTTAGAACTACCCTTGCTGCAGCTTGTGTTCATTACCTTTCAAAATATTTGCTTTTGTGCAAATACCTTCAAGAGTTGAAGATGGCAGTAAGAAGCCCCTGTAAATTCTGTCTCTTGAGGCAAAAATGAACCAGCTGCTTCAGCCTCTCTTTACACATCACATGCCACAGCCCCTGCCCCCTTGGATACGCTGCAGAATTCCTTCTCAGATAGCCACACCAAATGAAACCAGTCTATGTAACCCACTTCCAGTATCTGAAAGAAAATGCCTAGAGAAAGTGTACAGCAAGTTGGAAGCGATATTAATCTAGAGTTTACTCAAGCATGCAGTAATCTGTGGAGTATACATGTCTTTGTGCACAAAAACCTTATTATTTTATTACTCCACTTAAGCCTTTCCAGTCATGTTGTACCTGCTATATTCCAAATATGGTCTTCACAGCAGTCCCACTAGTTGGTGCTATTGTATGTACATGAGCTTCAGGATCTATGCATAATTATCTTGAATTAAAACAAAAAAAAAATGATATGGAAATCAATTATAACTTTTAAAAGCAAATTAGTATTTTCTGTTTAATTATGCAGTTGAAGAAAAACAATAAATTATTCAGAAGAAAATCACAGGCTTGGAGGAAAATTAATAAAAAATAGCATGAAGACTGTTATTTTTCAGTATAATTAAGAAGCTTTGTAAGACCCTAGATTTTGCTAGTCCCAAATATATAATGAAAATGCCATTTTTATTTATTTCCTGGTTTAGATCATCACATTCTTCCATGATGATAAGTTTCTCAGATCAGAGGCCACATCTTACAGTGGTGTTATTTAGAGCACTGCAATTTATCCTGTCACTTACAGAACATGGGTTGGATTGTTGGTTAAGATTTATAGTTACTTACCTAAGGTATACAAAAGTTGCTACCAGGACTATGAAGAGAATATTCAGTAAATAGGTGAATTCAGGACAGAAACACAGAACAATTGTATCTAATTTTGTCCTCATCTGTAGAGTGATACAATCACGATCTTCAGCAAATCGTGTTCTAGTTTTGCCTGTTGAATGAACCCTCTGTTTCACATTTTAACGAGATACTTACCAAGAAGTACAAAGATAGCAGCCTTCACCTCTGAAGTGGAAATGAACAGCAGATAGCAACAGTTTGAACAGCTGCTGCCCTTGGAAGTAGAAACTCCCACCTTCTCAAAACCCTGCCAGATCATGAACAAAAGAAATTTAATCACAATACACAAGAGCAAAAATCAGCCACACAGCGTTATGCTCTCTATATTATACAACTATACTGATTTATTTATGTCACTGCTTTCAGCTGATCATTTGTGTGATTTATGTAGCTGCCCCACAATGGATAATAACCTGAAGCAGTTACTTGGTCATCAGCCCCTGTAGGTATTTTTCTACATTGCTGTTCCAAGGAAAATAATGACAGTTTTGAAAAATAAAGCAAAATTAGCAGTTTTCATAGGGAATGTTGAAATAATTGTGTTCCACTTTTTTAGCAAAGACTTACATATGCAATTTATATACATATATAAATACATATATTCATATGTATTTAACCAAAAGCAAAGAGCAGAACACTGAAGATTCTTATTAGTTATATATAAGGACTTTAGTACTTCAGTTACCTCCTCTTTTCAGCCCTCTGTCCTGGAACAGTGGCAGTGTGAGAAAGTTTTACTGCCACAGAAACAAAAAAAAGACGAGAGAACAAAGGAAAGATAACATAAAGACATCAAAAACAATATAGAGACTGTGCTGCTGAAATTCAATCTCACTTCCAATCCCATTATGTTGGTTCATCTAGAGCTGAAGAAGGAGCAGCATAAATACTAAAAACAGCCCGATGACACAGCTTTTAGACTCTGAAGCTGAGATTGTCAGTAACTGATGAGTTAAAAGTTTGCTTTATTTCCTAATAAACCAGAAGGCTCTTAAAACACCCAGACACAAAAGAGCCTAAGATAACTGTGGTAGGCACATTCTTCTCTCTCTCAAGATTTTTTCATAGAGAAGCACAGAGAAAAGAAAGACAAAACAATTTCTATTTCTGCTCCTTGTTTTTCCCATGTAGAATGTGTTAGAAAGTTGTTCACCTGAGGTGATTGCTTGATTAGATTCTAGTGAGGATTGTTTAATCCTGATAGCCAATCCAATCCACCTGTGGCTGGACTCTCATGAGAGGGTCACAATTTGTTAGTTTAGATATAGTAGTTAGAATAGGATGTAGTTTTAGTATCTCCTTTAAATAGGATATTAATGTATTATAGTACAGTTATAGTAAAGAAATAATTCAACCTTCTGAGCTAGAGTCAGACATCATCATTTCTTCCCACCAGGTTCACCTGCATTTACAATAGATAACAGTGTTTGTTTTTTTTGTTAATTTTTAAACTAAACTCCCCCATTTGCTTTCTTGCATTTCAGTTGCTTTCTGTTTTATGTGGTTTTCTTTTTCTAGTCACAGTATGTCTTGTGTTTGTAAGCTGAAGGCTCATTGGTCAATTTTATACTCAGAATTTTTTAAAAAGCTGTTACTTAGGGGAAGAGGTCTTACAGTCAATAAAATAATCAAAATATAAAGGAAGTCAGTGGAAACAAAGATCCTTTTTTAGTACAAGATAAACCACTGCAGATTATTGGAAAACCTTTGAAAAATCTTTAGGCATCTTTGCAATTTCAGTGGTGCGTTTATCTTCATGCAATACATCTATTTTTTGGTCAAATACATAATTTTTCATGCACACTGATCAGAAGGAAAAAACTCCCTAAACTCAATTATACTTATTTTTCCTGAACATCCAAATTAGCTCGTTTGCAATATTTGCTAAACCCTCTGAAGGATTATCCTTGGAATGGTAAATTTAAACCTACTAAATATTTGTACTAAAACTTTGACTCTATTTAACTATATTACCCAAGTAAGGGGCAGAAATACAGTGTGAATTATACAAATAGTAGCCAGTGTTACAGATCATACTGTAACTTCATTAAAACCCTCTTATATAAATACATCTAAAGAAGAAGCACAGAATTCAGCTTCTTTTATGTTTTTACCCCATATTTGAATTTCATGAGATTTAAGCTGTCACATTCCTTTCCATTCTTTTTATTTGTTTGCAGATATTTACACTGCAAAATTGATAAAATATATATGCATAGAGAAAACCCAATATTCCAGACCTGTTTAAAATTTGTTAAAAGGGTAGAAAGGAAGTTCAGAAGCTCCCTTTAAGCTCTTTTATCAACAGAAAAATTACTGTATCTTGCAAACTGAGATAATCATCCATAATATCTGATACTCCTGTAGATGAAATGAGCAGTGCACCCAAACAAACAAGCAAACTTTGATTATTCAACTGGAGGCTAAGGAGTGGTAACAACTAATCCCCCAGTCTGTCAGCTCCCATTGTCCCATCTCCTGCTAGCTCTCGGTACTGGGGAGTCAGTGCTGCAAATCGTGCTCCAATGATGCTCACATACAACTGAAGTGTAGGGCTGGGTTAACAACTGCAAATGAAATCAAGGTGAGTGCATGTTCTAGATGGTATTTTAAAAATCAAGATTTATGACTTCTACTTTTGGTAAGACATCCTGTAATTGTTGTATTTTCCTCCTCCACCTACTCTCATTGTGAGCAGATGAATACTCATGCAATTAAAAATACCTTGCCATGCCTATTTAAAAAGACAACACCCTGATAATTACATGCAAGGAACAAAGATATATGCTAAACAGGGATAGGATATCTGAAGTACATTCTTTATTCCAATGCATAGAGTACTATGTGAAGTCCTTCAAGGCTTCACATTCACTACAGTTACAGAATTCACAGCCTCATATAAATCTTCTAAGTTGTATCACACTCCAAAACTGCATCAAATATACCAAATTGCCTGCTACAGTGATTTCTGAGTAACTAGAATTTTGGAAAGTATATATACATTTTTCCTCAATGCCTAAGTGTAGTCTTGCATGCAACACCTCAAGCCAAGCTTTTAATTTGTTTCTGTCCATAACCACAGAAGACTGAACTCACCCATGCAAGCAGGTAACCCCTAAATTTGCTTTAATGTTATTACCTCTGTATAAGTATTTAGCAAAAGACATATACAGTTCTGTAAGCACTGGTGAAGAAACAAGCTGAACAAGGATTTTTACTCCCTTTTTTTTGGTAGTGTCTTTCTTATAATGTTAAGATGTAGCAGCTAACAATAGTTTGCATTATGCTGGAGTAATAACATGGTATTAATTTTATTCTAAACAGAATTCCTTAGTTGACAGTAGATGGTATCCATAAATTCCAATTCTCTTTCCAGCAATCTTTTAAATTTTGACCATGGCAGAGAAGGTTAAATGTTTTTCTGGGATGATTTCCTAGACCAGGAAAATTATACAGTTTATTAAGTTGTTCCCAAACCAGGATAATTATGCATAAAGTTCAATTAGTTTTTTTTTTTTTTTTCCTTTTCCTGGTTTGATTTTGTCATTATTTCTTATTGTTAGTTGATATCTGTATGTGATTTCCTCTGGCTGTTCGCAAGGGACATATAACCCACATGCTGCACCACTAGTTGGTAGACAGGCACTAGATTGTAGAAAGCAGTTTTAAAGTTTTTCTAAGAATATTAACTGCACTACCACTCAGAGCTATAAAAATGCCATATCTAAGATTATTTAAAACAAAATGTAGTATTGCAATATTTGTAAAATACTAAGCTATGTTATTTTGATTTCAAGAAGGAATATCTTATGTTTTTATAAGCTCTGTTGGAGGTTTGGGGGACAGGTTCTTTTTCCTGTAGATGAAACACTGCACAGAGTGTTGTATTTTTGTATGGAAAGGAATTGAGGCAAAGGATGGGTGGAAAGTGTCTTACAGCCTTTCCGTTCTCAAGGTTTCTGTCTAAGCAAAGAAGGATTCCTAGGCTCAAAGTCCAAGCATAGTTTTAGTTACATAGCAGCAGGTGAAGCAGGACTTTCCTGGAACAGCAGGTTCTGCTGCAATTCCAGACATTGTGCCAAGCAGAAGTGAATTATAGAACTTGCAAGGAAAAGCCTAGCCATGTACACTCACCCAAACAAGGATCCTTCCTGGAGGTTTTCTGCAATGCAAAGTTTGCAAGACTGGGATGGGCTGAAAACTTCCCTGAATTGTTTTGATCTTCATCGAGTCTTTCCACAAGAAACTTCAGGAAGGCACAGATGCCTGCATTCTTAGCCCAAAGGTCCACACCCCTGAAGAAGGCATGTGAGTAAGGCTGTCATAATTTGACATGGGAGGAATTCAGGGAAGTGAAGGAAAAAGTACTTTTTTGTTGCTCCTCTGCATCTGTACAAGCTCTAGATATTCATGTGTCCCAACTATATGCATTCATATCAAATTAATCCTTGTGCTTACGAGTCTAGCTATGCATATACTCACTTGCAAAAGATCAAAAAAATAATCTGACAAATGCATACATCTATACTCAAATCACATGCACAAATAACTATAACACTTAAAATGCTTACACTGCAGCTGTATGTGCAAGTGGGAAAAATCTTGCATATGGATGCAATTTTTCAGCAACCACAGTAATTGCACTGTATGAATAGAGAGATACAAATTATTTTAGTATGCCTGTCCCACTCTTAGAAATTCCTACTTGTATTTTCAGTGAAATGACGATATTTATGGTGTTTTGCATATGATGGCAGGAAGAGAAAAGATATGTTGAACTGAAAGGGGAAAAATATCTGTCGATTATTCTGTTCTACCTGCAAGCAGAAAAAGCCAAAATTACTCTCTTTTTGATAGTTTTCCTATGTGTAAATGCTATTTTGATAGCTTTTCACAAGGTATGTCACTTCAACTTACTGAACCATTTTTCTTGAGAAAGCCCAATTTTAGAATGGCTGACCCATCCTAACAGGATAAATACAACCTGCTAGTCAAAATACTTGTTTCTACTAACATTCTATTGAGAGAGACAAAGGGGGAATAGAACTTGGGAACAGACTGGAAAACATCCATCAACATTCAGTTTACATTTGTTTGATGATTACCTGATGGCACTTCTTAGCATCAATAAATCTTAACACTTCTTGCTAGTACCTACAGAGCTACTTGAATGGTCAGGATGAGACATAACAGAGGCTCAGATGCAGAGACTGAGACTGTGTCTTGACTCCCCTCTTCAATTTACACATCAAATAAAAATGGTGTGGCAATGGCAATAGATTGCAAAGGCAATTGATACAGAAGAGAGGAGACTCCTGACCTTCTCTATCAGAATACCTTTTCATACTATGTAGTTCCTGACATTTTCAAATGAATGTTCCTTCATCTTGCCCAGAACAATGGCCAATCCTTTTGTAAAACAAACATTTGGAGGAAGACTTAATATGCAAGTTAAAGTTCCTATAGAAATCAACGTACTCACTATTTTAGGTGCAAGTATCTGAGTTATTCACAGACAAATGATTTTCAAGGTGTGGTCAACAGATTCCTGTGAGCACTTCTTTAAAAGCAGCACTTAAGTATTCTTTTGTATGATGAACAGCTGCACACCATATACTTGTTCCTGTCAGCTGCTTGTAAATAATGTTTTTTAAAACATACTCCCCCCCACCACCCCAGTTATTACCATGCAAGCAATTGTTGTGCTAGCATTAAGAATGACATGTAAGAAATAAAAGGTCTGTGAAGGAAAGCCCTTTACCCATTTAAGATATCTCCCACAGAGATAATTATTACATCTTACAGCTGGATCACTGCCCGAGGCAGAAAGTTGAGCAGGTACAGAAAGGATTAAGTTTGAACAGCAGAATTGTTAAAGAATACTTCCACATCATGAAATAAGACAAATCATGAAGAATAAGTTAGATTTA